ATCGTACGTCAGCGTGATATGCGTGAAGTACGCATGATACGTGTTCTGCGTGAAGCTGAGTGTGGCACTGATCACAAATTGGTTCGGACCAAACTGTACATATATTTTCGTAAATCTATGTATTGCACTCCTGCCGTGAATCGACGTAAATTTAACCTTCTCTCCCTCGGTACTGTGACGAAGCGTACTGAGCAGGAGAAGGCGATGGCTGCACGTCTGTGTGATGTAGACTGCATATCAACAGTGGGCGTCCTGTGGCTCCACATTCGCGACCAGGTGTCAGCTGCTGCCGAGAAGACCATCTGGCGCGCAAACTGTATGCGGCCTGATTGGTTTGATGACAACAATGCGACGATCGGCGCATTGGTGTCGGAGAAGAATGCAGTATTTGCTGCACATGTTGCAGACCCCAGTGACTTGGGGAAGAGTAGTCAGTTTCGCAAACTTCGACGGCGACTGACCCGAGAGCTCCGTCGCATAAAAAATGCATGGTGGACAGAGAAGGCGAAGCAGATGGAATGCTACGCCGAACGCCGCCAAAACAAGGAATTCTTTGACTCCTTGAAGACGGTGTATGGACCGAGATTGGATTCGCTGAGGACACTGATCGATGGTAGTTCATGTGCTACCTGCACCCAGACTGCAGACATAATGCAGATCTGGCGGAAACACTTTGATTGTCTCTTGAACAATCGTTCAGAGATCGACTGGCCTACATTGAACGGCCTGAAGCAGCACGATGTGAAGGCGAAGCTGGCGGATATGCCGACACTGGATGAGACGCAGAGAGCACTTGCTCAGCTGCGAAACGGTAAATGTGCCGGAGGTGACGGGATCCCGCCTGAATTATTGAAACACGGCGGACCCGCGTTGTTGACTGCGCTGCACCACTTGGTGAAACGCGTATGGGTTGAGGAGGTGCATGCTTAGCTGAAGGATGCTCTTGTGCTACCACTGTACAAGGGCAAAGGTAGCAAGCAATGTTGCACGAATTATCGTGGCATCAACTTGCTGAGTTGTGTGGTCATGGTGATTGCCCGAATCCTGCTCAACCGCCTCGTCAGTCAGATTGTGGAACCGAACGTGGCAGAAGGGCAGTGTGGATTCCGTTCGGGTCGCAGCACTATAGATATGGTGTTTGCGGCTCGACAGTTGCAAGAGAAGTGCAGAGAACGACACCAGCCATTGTATTCACTTTTAGTTGATTTCATCAAGGCATTTGATACGGTGAACCGCGAGGCATTGTGGCTGGTGTTGGGTAAGTTTGGTTGCCTGCGTAAGTTTGTAAGTTTAGTTGGATGTCTGCACAGTGGTATGCGAGCGAAGGTGCAGCTGAGTGGAGAGACCTCGGATGACTTTTCAGTTGTCTCTGGTGTGAATCAAGGCTGTGTATTAACTCCAGCCCTGTTTAATATATATCTCCATGCAATGTTGTCTTGTGCTTTTGATGCCGCTTGTGCTTACGGTGTTCGTGTGGAGCACCGTATTGATGGTGGGTTGCTGAACATCCGTCGTTTCGGTGCGAGAATTATAGTCTGTGAGACAACTATCCGTATGTTGCTGTTTGCTGACTACTGTGCGTTGTTTTCACACAGCGCGGATGAGTTGCAGCATTTGACTAGTGCTCTGGCTTCGACAGCGGCCAAATTCGGGTTCACCATCAACACAAGCAAAACTGTCTGTATCTTTCAGCCTTCACCGGAGGTGCAATCTTCAATATTGCCGCGAATCAGAATTGGTGCTGAAGTATTGGAAACCACCACCCGTTTCAGCTACCTTGTGAGTGTGATGTCGATGGATCAGCAGCTACACGTTGAGTTGCTTAATCGCGTGTCGAAGGCGGCAGCGGCATTCGGGAAGCTTGAGTACCGAGTGTGGAACAACCATCAGCTTAGCATTGGCACGAAGCTGATGATGTACAAATCCATGGTACTGTCCGTTCTTCTATACGGTATTGAAATGTAGACGAAGTACCGGTGGGATGTGTGATATCTCGAGCGGTTCCATCAGCAGTGTTTACGACGAATGTAGCACATCAGTTGGGGCGACAGATTTGCAGACACAGAAGTGTTGCGTCGAAGTGGGATGTATGCAGTGGACTGTATACTTTTGCTGAGACATCTGTGGTGGATCGGTCATGCGAGCCGTATGGAGTCAACGCGGATACCGAAACAACTCTTGTACAGTCAGCTGAGTACTGGGAAGCGGCGTGTGGGGAAACCAAACTTACGTTACCAGGACATGATTAAAGTGAGCCTCACACGTTCTAATCTTGATTGCAGATCATTGGAATCGAAGGCGTTTGATCGGCGTGCATGGTGCGATCTAATCACGAAGGCAGTTGCTGAAGTGCGGGAGAAAGACCTCATACATGCAGAGAAGAAGCGGCAAGCACCGATGGGTTGAACTCCATCAATATCTTGCACATGGGGCTGTAGCACATGCGGTTGCGAGTGCCTGAATCAGGCAGGCCTAGTGAGCCATGACCGAGACCACTCGAGACCACTACCGAAGCGCCGACGGGTTCTGCAGAGAAGGTAGACAGAACCGGCGCAGCGTTTGTAGGTACGCTGCATTCGATTTACTAACCGCGTGCTTGTATGCTGAGTTTCTTTTTTGCAGGTGGTCTATTTGCAGTTTTCTGCTGATGCTTCACTTTCTCATATAAATGCCTACCTATAATCACTTCCATAAATTTGCACACGTCGCTTAAGCCACTTGTAGTTGTTTCGATAACATTTTCGTGTTTGTGGCATTTCCGCAAAATATACTTTCCGACCTCGTGGACTTATCTCGTATTCTTTTGTAAACATATTCTTTCGTAAACAACTTATTTCATATGCTCATTAATTTAAGGTTTATGTCACCGTTTCGTTATGCATTACTCGATTTATTTTCTTTGTTATCTTTTTCACAAGTGATTGGCTGTTGCTTGGTATCCCCCGTGAGGCTGCGCTTGATGTGCATGTTGACAAGGTGCCTACTTGTCTATTACCCACTACCTCGTCCATACTGGCTCCAGGAGACAGTTGGTCGTTGTTGGAGGGGACCGGGTGCACGGTCCTTGTGGCCGTGTTAGGATCAAAGAGTGGTTCCATGCAGTCAGTGTGGAGCGGACCATGGTCTTGTCACCGTCTGGTATGCGATTGATTCCCCAAATACAGCGTGCTTGTGTTTGCCTGTGAAGGAGTGTGGGCCGGCTCCATTGATGGGACGTGGCTCCCATCCACATGCCACCCGGTCTTATTCCTTCGGGTTTACACTGCAGATCGGTTCACGGGAGTTTGATTTTTCAGTATTGATTCGGGGATGAGTTCCGCTGTTTAAGGTGGTTCACGAAAGCACCAAATTTCCGAAATTAGCAAGTTGGTCCCTTGTAGGGTAGTGGGGATTTTTTGTATCTTCATCTTCCCACAAAATCTCAACCCGTAAGTGAAGACTCATAACGGACCACGCGGTCAAGGTATGTGAACCCTTGAAGAAAAGCGATCTTGCCGCAACGGATACCTCAGAGGGTAGGGCAATTGAGCGTCAATAGTCTCTGGGACCTACCGAATCACCTTAAACTGAAAGCTCTCTGGAAGTACAGTGGAATATGTTTGTGCCAACGGTATGATTTTATCCTCAGTTACTAATCCTTAGTTACTAATTTGCGTTGCTTTTTTCGCCCACGTTTATATTTTGTCAAGACAACTCGGTGTGGCATGACACAATTTGCATTACGTCTTATGACCCGCGCCCATCAGGCGATGATAAAACGCAAACAAACGCTGTGGTCATCAGTCCTTCAGAAGTTGAGGCGATCGGAGTTATAGTTGAGTCCAATTGAAGGGCATTATAAGTCCACGGAGGCACAATTCATCCTGCCTGAATTTATGTGTTTCGCCTAGCTCATCCTGAAGGAGTTGTCAAGCCTTGCATTTTTTAAAACTCAGATTATACCATTGTCCCATTGCTTGATTGATCGCTTGCTACGCATAGTCGCGGTTCTCCTACTTCAGAGTGTGCTATCTTCAGACATTATGCCTGGTTGGTCGAAGACTTCGCGTTACTATTCTAGGATATTACAAGAACGGCAAAAATAGATTCCCGGGAATGTCTTAAAAGATTGGCGTATCGCGTCCAAGAAGAGAGCACTTATTGGCTCAACTACGTCCTCGTTTGTTTGTCTAATTCGACACGAATTTCCTGTGGAAAATATAGTGGAAGTTTTGCATTCGATTCACTGAGCTTACTTCTTAATATTACCATTCAAAATTTGAACCTACAAAGCACTGTTATCCTTTGAATCTGTCAAGTTTCTAGCTACGTTCTCTTTCCCTTCCGTACTAGGGTGGCGCGGCGATGGTTAAGTAGCCGAACAAAATTGGCTTGCAAACTATCGATTTCCTACTTTAATCATTATACTGCTTTGGAACGGTTCGATTTGTCAGTCGCTTGGTTTTTCGGTGTTTTTGTCATCGTTATTTGTAAGTCCTGGATACTTAAATTTCGGCTCCTGGATACGTTACGCAACATTGCTGACGTTTTTTATACTACACACAAGTAGCAGGATTTTAGTTGTAATTCTAATAAGGCTTTTGTCCCAATCGTGAGTACTATAAAATCAAAATAGCCTCCCCATTTTCAAATGCTATGGATATAGCGTCTAGTGAGAGAACACCACCTCGCAGGCTAACCACTATCAGTGACAGTGGTAGATAGGTGGTGCTATATCCCAGTTAGTTTGCAAATTATGTAGCTGAGCCAACGTCCTCCATGGCTTAGTGGCTTAAGCTGCTGCCTAGTTGGCATCTGCCTCTAGCGGTCATGGGTTCGATGCTACTTAGAGGACCGAGGGAATGCGCGCCACTGACGAGCCCCAATGGGGCGAAACGCGTCTGGCGCTTTTCCGGTCTAGGCTCTGCTATTTAGCTTGTGAACTATTGGGACGAAAGCTTTATCAGAATTTATGACGTTTGGCAAACTAGATTTCACTGTCCACCAAGAACGGTAGTTACCGTGTCTTATTGTCCCGATTTCCCAGTAAATCGAAATCGTTGTCAAGGTAGTTCATTCTTCTGGTTTCCATGGGGTATCGGTCAGGTCCCCGCCAAACAGGCTGATTCGGTTGCATCTGCTTCTGACTGGCTTCTGCTTCAGAGTGAAGCTGTTGTGAACGCGTCTTCTTCTCTCTCCGCGCGCTCTCCCGACACCACTCCAATTCTTGTCTGGAAACGCGTTCAACTTGTTCCAGTTTCTCCAACAACCTGGTCGCTGCAACCTTGTTGAAAGAAACGCGCAGTTTTTTAGCTGCATCATCAAGCGAATGAAATGCACTGAGAATAACGAAACGAACACATTACAATGAAAAATGCAAATGCCTTATCAGTGTTAAAAGGTAATGGTTTAACAAGTCCCATGGGTTGGTCAAGTTGAGAATTCAAAACCCCGAAGCATACCTATCATTAATTAACGAGAGTATCAGTAATCAGATAAAACAAGGATGTAATGAGTGTAGTTTGACTAACGTGTCAAATGCGTCGGTTTATGACGAAGTTGGCGACGGAGAAATTAGTCGTCAGTATACAAAGCCGGCTGCGAGATCGGTACAGTGAAAGTTTGTCGCGAGAAATTAAAAGCGCTCGCAATCTGTGCTTATTTCGTTGATTTCTCGTGACATATAATCCTAGCAAGGTTCGAGCATATATCGATCTTCCGGGTTATCAGGGTTTACGCAACATAGTGTGTTGAGCATAGGTCAACGGTCAAACGATTTTTAAAGATAGCCCAAGTAGGAGCGGAAACAACTTGAATTCGGGAAAGGGTTACAAGTTTTGTTGAACCGAAGGGACGAAAATTTCGTTAATATTCTAGTTCTCTATGTTATTCAGTCAGTACCAGTTGGTTATTCCTGAGGTTTTGCTTCATGGATAAACAATCGTTCACAAATATGAACTACAATGGTGATTATCGTTCGATCTGAAGTCTGTCTGGGCCATTCCGATCACTTGGGTCGCATCAGAATCAGTATCTTAAGTTAGTGCAGAGTGAGATGAGATTGGGATCTTGCATCTTATACTTGGTACTTTATGCAACGATCGTCAGGCCACTGAGCTTCACGAGCAGCGGTTGATACAGCTGTTAGATCCTAACTGCTGGGTTTTGGGCACCCATCGTGTTTGGATTGCGGCACACAAACTCAATTGAAGACACGATTTGCTTTGATGCGATCCTCTGTCATTCAGATTAATGAACGCACATCTGAAGTGGAGAGTTTCGGAGCTGGTTTCTCCCAACACTGCATTCCAGGACCGACCATTTTCTTCCTGGTTTGAACTCCTCGGGTAAAGCTAATCTGAGCTGATAGTGGAACCTTACACATTGCGCTTGACGGCTGGGGCGTTGATATTTAATCCAGAGCTTCGCAAGCAGAGATTACCGCGGCGGTTAGAAGTTCCTGCATGGGCTTTGCAGTGCGCCCTATGTGTTTGGATGGAGGCAAGCAATCGCATTTGGGACTCGAGCACTCCAAAATCCAACACTAAACCTCCGACCGTTGTATCAAGCGTTGCTCTCTGATCTCAATATTCTGGCGGTTATAGCGTAATCCGTCGACTCCGGTATACTGGGTTTTACTCCTGCCCTGCCTACCTTTACTCAAAGAGTCCATACAAAGAGAAACCGCTTGTGGGGTTTGGTGAATGAGGGGAGCAATGTCGAAACATTGTATGTCAGCATATGGGATTACGATCGACGTGCACAAAGCAAAATTTTTCTGATCACTATGTAAACGCCGGTGGCGTCAACCCAAAATCCCGAGGCCATTTGTCCTATGCTTACGCGACGGCGTTAGGGATCCCTAACGGTCTTCGTTATCCTACGATGTTGGGTTTTGTGAGGTCGTGCTTCAGTCACGGTTGAAAAGCTTGAATAACCTATACAACGTGGTGATCCACGCAATTATTATGCACCGATGGTACGAGCGCTGCCCACAACAGACCCATGTGGGGGTTAGTCGTTTCGAGAGCCAAGTCAGACTGTCTTGAATAGCTGATACCGTCCTGTTTGAGATCAAAGTCCTCTGCCTTATGAAAACGTCTACAAGCAATGCATTCCATTTCCATAAACGTGTGTATGCAGACAGCACATTTGGACAACTGGGCCCTTAGGTGTTTGAAATGGTGATCAGTTCTGAACCGACCGGCTTGACACCAATCACAAATGTATTAAAGCAACCTTTGTTCTTTGGTTCTCTGGCATCTTCTCATATTTTTATTTCACCTCTAAACAGTAAGAATTCTTTCGTGTATCCCATTGCTAGATCGTTTACGAAATCCAAGAATAGTGGTTATAGCACCGAGCCGTACGTTGCAACCTAGGTGACTCTAGCTACGTCGGACTATGGGCTATACACAGGACTATGACTGAAAACAGTACCGATTCTTTGATGGCTCTGGTTGGATGGGTCGGGCTATCTCGCAATTAGGTTTCAATTCGTAATGGTCGGCTGTCGTCCCCCATAGCTCAGTGGCATAAGCTGCTGGTTAGTTGGCGTTAGCCTCTAGCAGTCATGGGTTCGATCCCCAGTAGAGAACCGATGGATGCGCACCAATGACGAGCCCCAATAGGGCGAAACGTGCGTCTGGTGCTTTTCCGAATTGGTAGCTTACCTATGCGGCTTGGAAACTAACTGCGACGAACCAAACTGAATGATTGTAGAAAGTTTGCTATCGAACCCTGAGTATCCGATACATAATTTATAGAGCGCAGTCAGTAGGTATTACACCCCGAAGTCGCAGTGCTTGTCCACGCTGCAGTCATCCATGAGTAAAGCGATTATGGTAAGAGGAAAATTCGTCCAAGCTGCGGAATCCACAAATGTTAGTACGGTTAGGCTAGCGCCACATGGAATCACTTTTAAACACGATCAACGCTGAAGCAGACGTATTGCTACTGGAAACTGTTCCAACATCCTAATGTACTCAAAAGGAAGCTGCCGTGATCCATAAAGGTGATTATGTAGCTCCACCAGCTCTCGCGTGCGATCAGTCGGACTAGTATTCTGGTACAGCTCACACTGGTTGTAAGAAATATGACTGGGGCTATTCAGAATCAGGTATATATGTTAGCTTTATCTATGCATATAAATTATTGTTAATGGCACTGAGGAGACAACATGAAATGCATGCATCTACCAGCCCTCGTCTTCTTTCCGTGCTTTTCAACTTGTTGTAGGGAACTAACTGCTTTAATTATTTGAAAAAATTTGTTATGTCTCATGAGTCTGGTGATTCCTAGACGAAATTGGCCTGAATTCCCCTTGCGCTACCGCATAAATACATAGGTTCCGAACAAATGGTGGTGAGCACTCACTGTGCGGCGGTATACTATTTTCCATATGTCTTCTAGTAAAAGGATAGTTTGGGTTTGGCCGCCGTAATGTAACAATGAATCAGGGAACGACATCAGTCTAGAACGGAAGCACGCAATCAGGCCTTGCCGAACTCAAATCAATAAGCGTATCTACATTATTCTGTTATCAATACCTAGGGGAATAAATTCGATTTGGTCATCTGACGCAAAGCATGAAGGATTCGAGATGGAAGATGGGGATGGAATACCCGTCCATCAGCTACCGGTTTACTTGACGTGACAAGTGGACATAAGTTGTGTCGTCAGCAAGTTATACTTACTAACTAGTAACAGGTATACTGGATTAATTCTCTATGTGCTCGCTGGTACTTTGTGACACCCGTTTTAAACAAACAAACTCCTTAGTATTTAGAGAGCTCCTCATGGACGGCATGTTAGGACACAAGGAAGGAGAACGAGTGTGTCAGTAAGGTTCTTTTAGAGCTGTGAAACCTTATAATGACCATGACCGTGAAAACTATTCTAAAATATATTCAAATTATAGCTTTCTTGTGTATTAGGGAATTAGGCAGTTTGCCTGTTGGAACGTTGTTCCCATTTGGTGGAAACACGAAGGCCATCTCCGCCTTTGGCGCGCGACTCCACTGCGAACCACGCTCCGTCCACGCACTCGACGCCCAACTACATCCTCCCTAGTTAACTCTCTTCTGGTGCCCCATTTTTAGCATTAGCTAACTCTCCTCCCTTCCAATAAACTTTTTCCCTAGCTTAATTTGTGTTTTTTGCCTATTGCTTTTGGTTGGCCGTCGGGTTTCGTACCGAATATGTAGCGCACGATCATCGCACTATAACCTGAAACGTTTTCGTGTACGCCGGGGATTGTGGGCTTCTGATCCAAAGGTTTAATTCCTCATTTGACCGCTTACCTTCGTGGGCCATGTTAGCTGCATATATCTGATCTTTTGAATGTAATGCCTTTTCCAAACACCCGGAGCAGCTCCATCTACTGCACACGGTAGGTTCCATCCTCGATGAAGGCATTTCGGAGCCCATATTTCATTGGAATCCGCCAGGTACTTCCAGTACCAACAAACCTGGAACACAGTAATTACGATAAAATAATCGGCGAGTGTAGATAAGAGAATTCCCTCGTGTATCGTTGTTTTCATCACTGCTAGACGTTAACGAACAGCGAAGACATTCAGAAAACCCAAGCAGAAGAGACGTAATACTGCACCGTTATTTCCTTATATTTTTATCTGAAATTGTACCGCAAAAATGTATGGGACACGAATCCATCGCTTAAGAATAAGGTACTAAAATTTCTGCATATACAGTAAAAACCGCAAGGTTAAAAGGAAACTGTTATGATTGGGTCGCCACTGTTATGGATTGGGTAGCGTAGATTGCCTTAGTCGTCGCCGCGGTTATAATTGAGGGAACGCCGCCTCTCGATATGGATTGCGTAACACCTGATAAGATTGTCGCTGGCCAATCGTACGGAGTTGCGCTGACCTGATGACGCTAGCTTAGCCGGGTGAGACGGAAAATTGAGCGAGCGTGTGACCGATCTTAGCCGCAAGTGTTCGGATAGACGCTGACCCCTCGGAACGGGCGCACACGAGAGGGGGGTACGATAGACGCGCGCTAATGACTTAGACGCGAAGGCTGGCCAGCTAACGATGCACACGCAATCACGCGATCCGACCGACTCCCAACTGAGGCGAAGAGAAAGAAAAGACAAGTGGTCCTCTGTAGGCTCTTTTACGACCAACAAAGGGCAATCACAGATAGTGCTATGGGTTATTAAGTTAGGGAAAACAGTCACCACGCAGAGGTGATAGTTTGCAAATGAGCATTGTCAAAAGGTGTGCAGTTGGGGCGCGTCTCGGAGTGGCTGAGCTCTGCTGCGTTGTGGGGAGGAATTGGACTCCGCTTCCCACAGCCATTCTGCTGGGGTTTCTGGCGCGTTTTTGCGGGAATATTTGACGTGCCCGCAACACCTCCCTTTGAAGAGAAAGCGTACCGCTTCTGGCAAGGATTGACCTGGAGGGATTTCGGTGACCTCCGGATTCTTTCTGTTCGTCGGCAAGGTGGGTTTTCGAGACGCGGCGTCGATTGAGCGGCTTCGACCGTGTTCTCCCGTTGTGGAGCCATTCCAAAGGTATCCAGCAGGATGTGCAGCGGCAGGTGCACGGGATGGCTGGCTGGCGTGGAGGTTTCTCCGTGGCGCGGACGAAGTTGATTGCGATGGCGAACCCAGGTGTCATCACCCACGGAGACATCATGAAGCATATCACCTCGCCTGGCTGTCACTGTTGCTTTGATCCAGCGAGGATGACCTGCTCGGTAATCACGAGCGTAGACTGGGGCTCCGACGGCGAATTCTTTGTGTTTGGTGCCGGCACCAGAGTGAGTAGGTGGCTTCTCTGTCGGAATGAGCGCATCGTTTGTGGTGCGTAGCTTGCGGCCCATCAATGCTTCAGCTGGTGACTGGCATCCTGGCGTAGCTGGATTCGGTGTGGACCGGTACGAGAGCAGGAAGGCCTGAAGACACTCATCCACGGTCCCCTCCCCGCGAGATTTCAAAAGCGCCCTCTTGAATGTGTCGACAAATCGCTCCGCTTGACCGTTGGATTGGGGATGGTACGGCGGCGAGCGGAGATGTTCGATGCAGTGTCGGCGGCAAAAGTCTTCGAAGACGGAAGACGTGAACTGGGAACCATTGTCGGACACCAAAACCTCGGGAAGTCCATGTTGACTGAAGATTTGTTGGAGACAAGCCAGCGTGGCGGATGCGGTTGGGGGGTTGACGGCGACCACTTCCGGCCATTTGGAATAGGCGTCGACCATGACCAGGTAGGAAATGCCATCGATGGGACCAGCGTAATCGATGTGCACTCGAGACCACGGTTTTGCTGGCGGCTGCCAAGGAACTGGTGATTGGTGTGGTGGCATCTTGGATGCTTGTTGACAATCCTGGAACACGGGGGCGGATTGACTGGCTTTGTCATCGGTTCGGTCGTTTGGTACTGTCGGGGAATGTACCACGTTGCAGATGGCCCGAAGCGGAAGATCGGCCAGGCCAAGGGTTTCGAGCCAGTCGAGACCAAGTACGTTGAGCTTCGCCTTTGTGATGTAGCAGGTCGCGTTGAATGTGGCGCCCCGGAAGGAGACGGAGCAGTGCAGCTGCCCAGTTAGCTGCACGCGGCCACCACAGGCGCTGGTGGCAGCTTGGGAGGTCGGTTCGAACGGTGGCTTGCCAAGAGATCGCCAGAGATCCTCGGAGATGATCGTGATGTCCGATGCAGTGTCCAACTGCAATCGGACCGACTGACCATTGATCAAGACGTCGACGAATTTTCTCCGATCAGCAGCGTTGATTTGGAACGTGGCCAGCAGGCTCAGGGAGCTGCCAACCAGGCCAGGTTTGGGTGTGCGTCTGGGTCGGGACCTCTTCTTTGGATCGCGGGTGGGAGCCAGCCCAATTTTGGCCCCCATGTGAGATGGAGGATGGCAGTAACCATCCCGGTGCCCCACCCTGCCACAACGTTGACAACGATGCTGGCGGAACTTGCAGTCCCGGTGGAAATGCCAGGCACTACAGAATCGGCACGCGTAGGGTGGGGACTTCGCTCGGTCGGATTGGGTGGGGCGCGCGGACGATTGCGCCCTCGGTGCTGTGACTGCCTGGACCATACCAGGTGCGGCGGCGTTCTGGATCATGGCAGAGTCGTGCTTCAGATTGAGCAGCGTTTGACACTCCTCGGCCAGGTTCTGGAGTGTGACTGATCCATCCTGTTGTAGCTTGGACAGGAGGTGCGTCCGGATATCGGCATCGTGTGGAGATTGGAGGCCAGAGACAAAGATCAGGCATTTGAATTGGTCCTCGGTGAGCGAGCCAAGTTGAAAACGTTGGCATTCCCGGTTGACCACGCCTGCGTACGTGATGAAGTCGTCGGCATCACGTTTGGCCAGCTGCAGACATTGGTAACGAGCATTGAACAGGGAGGACTGCTCGCCAAAAATCTGTGACAACGTTCGGACCGTGTCGTCAAAGGTAACGTCCCGTGGGTTCCTCGGCAAGATGAAATTGGTGTAGCGCTGGTGTTCGAGGGTACCAAGTTTGCGAAGAAGCAGCCGGACCTTCCACGCGTCGTCCTGGCAAGCCAAGTCAACGGTGAACAGGTCCTCGTACCGCTTGTACCAGGATTCGAACGTTACTCCGGCCTTGGCGTCGTACAGAAATTCGCTGATGCCGCTAACCACATGGTCCATGGACTGAGAATTGACGCTCGGACCTGCATGAAGGGAAGAACTGGAAAGTTTTTCGGTTAGCGCGGACATCAATTTAAGCTGTTGCTGCAGCATCATTTTTAAATCGGCGTATTCGTCAGTCATGGTTCGTCAACTCTGTCGCCACTGTTATAAGTGGGTCGCCACTGTTATGGATTGGGTAGCGTAGATTGCCTTAGTCGTCGCCGCGGTTATAATTGAGGGAACGCCGCCTCTCGATATGGATTGCGTAACACCTGATAAGATTGTCGCTGGCCAATCGTACGGAGTTGCGCTGACCTGATGACGCTAGCTTAGCCGGGTGAGACGGAAAATTGAGCGAGCGTGTGACCGATCTTAGCCGCAAGTGTTCGGATAGACGCTGACCCCTCGGAACGGGCGCACACGAGAGGGGGGTACGATAGACGCGCGCTAATGACTTAGACGCGAAGGCTGGCCAGCTAACGATGCACACACAATCACGCGATCCGACCGACTCCCAACTGAGGCGAAGAGAAAGAAAAGACAAGTGGTCCTCTGTAGGCTCTTTTACGACCAACAAAGGGCAATCACAGATAGTGCTATGGGTTATTAAGTTAGGGAAAACAGTCACCATGCAGAGGTGATAGTTTGCAAATGAGCATTGTCAAAAGGTGTGCAGTTGGGGCGCGTCTCGGAGTGACTGAACACTGCTGCGTTGTGGGGAGAAATTGGACTCCGCTTCCCACAGCCATTCTGCTGGGGTTTCTGGCGCGTTTTTGCGGGAATATTTGACGTGCCCGCAACAGAAACCGTTCTCATTAGAAAGTAATACAAACGCTTTTACTTAGCTAGGAGAAGTTAGCCAAACTTGCAACGAAACAGGTCGTGGCGGTAGATTCGATTCCAAATCGAAACAACGCAAATATTGCCAACCTATCCGTATGATTTCATACTGGTCAAAGATGAAGGTAATGCCTAGATTTCTAAGGTGCACGATAAGCTGGGTATTCAGAAAATTTTTTACAATTGCCGGTCAAGCCGAATGCGAAGAAGCCAAGGAACAGCATACAACAAAACAGCAGTTTCGTTATTAATACTGCTTATGGTTAAGAAACATTTACAGTAAAGTTGAAACCCTCTCTTTTCGGTCCTTGAGCTTAATTACTCGTAACCGCTATGTTAGACCTTGCTCTCAGAGATCAATACCTTGTTGATTGTGGCGTCAGCAATCAACCATATAGGAGCACGTTCCAGCTCAAACTGGGACTGTCTTCACCTGAAATATTCCCACAAAGTCGGAGTCAGTGGTGGATGGCGGATTTGGGAGGTACCAACACAGAAAACTGTTCACTTCGGTTACTGTCTTCATAATCGGAGTGGCCGAGATTTACTTAGAAGTAGGCCGCAACTCCGACTGAAATTACTGATCGTAAACTATACCCATGGTGGACACTTCTTAACCCAACAATGAACTTATAAGCGCTGTGTTAAGCGTTGCTGGCGGAGCTGTGGCTTAGTGAACAAGGTGTAAGCCATCAACCGTTCTGTGCCGTGTTACACTATAAGCTTAGGTTATCCCTACTTAAAGAGTCCAAAACAGCAAGAACTCGAGCATGGAGAGTAGTGTTGTGACAGATGAATAAGGAATAGCTCCAGTCTAAGTATCAGTTCCTAAGAAATGCTCTTCTGATTTGCTTACTTTGAGTTCCATTGGTATTTCTCTGCAAACCTTGCGTGCTTCATAAAGCCGTAAATGCTCCTATACATCCCTGTTTATTACTGACCTATGTACACGTTTACCTAGTATGAGTCGTCCTCGCTGCTGTTCAAGTTCCTA